TCAGATCTAGTGAAACAGTAGCCTTGTTTACCAGGCTGAAGGTGCACGGAATTGAATAACTTTACTTCCTGGATGCAAGATAGAGATCACTGTTTTGTGGTTGTTACATGTGTTGTCCTTTCCTGACAAGGTCATAATCGAAGATCTCGTCCTAATTTATCAAAAAGGTGACATGGCAGGTGGACAGAAGAATTCAAACCACACCAAAATATTGAAAACATTCGTATCACTTGTTGCTGTATAATGCTTTAAGTCCTGGCCATGTGTAGCACAGGCCCTTGTGTCTTTGCGAGGATTAAAGATTTTTAAAAATATTGTTTTTGAGATGACCCCCCACTTGAAATGCTTCACAGTACAATACATCATGTCAAGACTGGTGCACCCCACCCGCCTGCTTTGCCGATCGCTACGCTACCATCGCATGCAATCGATTTAAAACTTAATGTAAACATAATCGTGGATGATTTGCCCATCAAACACTACTCATGACACCTACCGGGTACCAGTTCTTTATTGTTATTTCTGCAAGTCGATTGAAACCCGATTTTGACTCTCAACTAAATGATTTTGTCACAAATGGATGATGATATATCCTGTGATGTGTAGTGCATGTGCAGCATGCACAAAGGCAATGCCATAGTGAACTTGGGGCCCAAAGTTAGCCCCTATACTTATTGCTGTTTAGTCATGCTGTTGGTGGTTGCCTCTAACAGGGTCAAATCAGGGCACAATTGCTTCACATTTGTAAAATCAAGTAAGGACTTTGATAAAACCAAATACGGGTTTTGATAGTCAAATAAGGACTAAAACATTGCCAAATAAGGACTTATTGTTAAACAAAGTGATTTTAGGAAATGTTTCTGAAATCATGGATTAATGTAAATATGATGTAAATTTGAGTTTCAATCAGTAAAAAAGACATGAATTTTCGTTTTTGTTCAATTATTTTAAAACTTCTACTGCGGAACAACCAGGATTTTATTGTAGTGATGGTGGGGATGTAAATGTGTAAATTGCTTCATTATGGCCTGTGCTAGATAAGCATGGTGATCCTTCTGTCTTTGATGATATCAGTGCATGGTACGCATGGACTGCGAGGTATGCAGCCAGTGTAATGTGGCCACATACCATCCATTGCTTGTCAATACAGGCTATCGTGGCCCACAACAACCTGTGTCAGTAGCACTATTATCTATTGATCTTACACTAAGATAGCATACTAAACTAAATTGTAGAGATTTTTTGTCGTCAAGTAGGTGGTAATGTACGGACTTTAAAGTTTATTACACAACTGAGATTAGCTGCATGAAGGGAGGAAAACAATAATTTCAGGTCCTTCGAAATGACCTGGGGATGTAGACATGGCTAAGATTCCGAATTAGTGAACAAATAAGTGAGTGTGTAAATAAAGCTTTAACACATTCAACACAACAGGCTGAAAAACAGGCCAAGATGTCACGAGTCCACACTCCACTGGCATTTCCTGCTAAAAACCTTCTGAATAACAAGAATTAACCAAAAACTTTCATCTAAATCTGAAAGTTTACATACACAAGAATAGTATCAATCAGCCGTTTGTGGTTGGGGCCCAGTCAGTGAGGTATCTGTAATGAACTAAGAAACTAAGGTATTTTATTTCCAATGTTTTTCATTAGTTTGAGGCGTCCTCCCAGTCAGTGTGAACCAACAAAGTACAGGATACAAGATAAGTGGCTGAAGTTGCCCTCCTTGGCCATTTCAGGATGCAATTGGTTGAGTCCTGAATTCAGCTCACAGTGGTTGTTTGATTGAAACATCAAGTCAAACTGTCCTTGTTTTAAGTCTAATGTTAAACTATTTTTGTGTGTCCCTAGATTGCATCAAATCTCAACACTGAGGTCCCCTCTTCATTTGGTACACAATACGATCCTTGTGTGGAGTCACCATAGCCATATACTTAATTAATAATAATTGAAATACTCTTCTCACTCACTCACTCACTCACTCGCTCATCAAACCACCCTACTGTCTTCTGTTTAGTTCACTCACTCACTCATTCACTACCTCACTCAGTCCCTCACTTCATCCTTCTCTCCTTCATTGCTTTACTCTTTCACTCTTTCCCCCACCCAACCACTCACTACCTCACTATGTCTTTCCTTTATTCCTTCACTCTTTCACTCACTCTTTCACTCACTCACTTCTGGTTCACAAGTCAGTCACACATATTTCAGATTCATGCTTCTTGTGATTGACAGCAGTTTGGCCTAGATTCGTGAAACGTGTACATTGTCATTGAGATACAGTCTCACTATGTAACCTGATACACTTGATAAGAGCTCATCAGTAAACAAAGTCTATTGTGTTGGTTGTATACCGCCATTGTGTACATTCACTTCTTCATCATGATCATGCAGCATCTTTCATCTGAACCAGTACTGTCAAACAAATATTCACTCAGGGGTAGAAATAACTTTAAAATTGATAGTGTACTCCGGTACAGTGGCACATGTAAAGTCACTTGCCCTGATAATTTTCCCACTATACCGACCGTTTTCTTGCTCATTTTTTAAATATACAGTGTGATATACAAATTTGCTTGCCCGACAGAAAAAACACTGGACTCAGACGTCGGGCAATGGGTTATTTCCACCCCTGTCACTGCAGTCTAGCAAGAACATCTGTAGTTTGGGGGCACAAGTTGGCTGATGGCTTTAGCTGCCACAGATCGATGTGTAGAGAGTTGCCTCCCTTCAGTGTGCCAGATGTATATCATCCCATGCAGCTGGTTGACATTAACATATCCCTGCAGCTGGGTTGCACTAGCGTGGTTAACATCACCATACCCATTCAGCTGGGTTGCACTAAAGTTGTTGTCATTAACATACCCATTCAGCTGGGTTGCACTAAAGTGGTTGTCATTACCATACCCATTCAGCTGGGTTGCACTAAAGTTGTTGTCATTAACATACCCATTCAGCTGGGTTGCACTAAAGTTGTCATTAACATACCCATTCAGCTTGGTTGCACTAAAGTTGTTGTCATTAACATACCCATTCAGCTGGGTTGCACTAAAGTTGTTGTCATTAACATACCCATTCAGCTCTGGTTGCACTAAAGTTGTTGTCACCCATTCAGCTGGGTTGCACTAACATCATACCCATTCAGCTTGGTTGCACTAAAGTTGTTGTCATTAACATACCCATTCAGCTGGGTTGCACTAAAGTTGTTGTCATTAACATACCCATTCAGCTCGGTTGCACTAAAGTGGTTGTCATGATCAAACCTCTGCAGCTGCGTTGCACTAATGTGTTGTCATTACCACACTCATGCAGCTGGGATGCACTAATGTGGTTGTCATCACACCCATGCAGCTGGGTTGCATTAAAGTAGTTGCTAACCTCTGCAGTAGTTGTCAAGATATTTTGAAAAACCTCATGAGTGGCTGGGTTGCTTAAATATCCATTGTTATTTTGAAAAGGGTGGTCATGAAAGGCTCATTGCTTAAATATCCTATATGGCACGTGTGTTCTTTGTTACATAAGAGACAGGTACTTGACAGAATCTTGTTGCTTACATGTTACATAAGAGACAGGTACTTGACAGAATCTTGTTGCTTACATGTTACATAAGAGACAGGTACTTGACAGAATCTTGTTGCTTACATATTACATAAGAGACAGGTACTTGACAGAATCTTGTTGCTTACCTATTACATAAGAGACAGGTACTTGACAGAATCTTGTTGCTTACCTATTACATAAGAGACAGGTACTTGACAGAATCTTGTTGCTTACCTATTACATAAGAGACAGGTACTTGACAGAATCTTGTTGCTTACCTATTACATAAGAGACAGGTACTTGACAGAATCTTGTTGCTTACCTATTACATAAGAGACAGGTACTTGACAGAATCTTGTTGCTTACCTATTACATAAGAGACAGGTACTTGACAGAATCTTGTTGCTTACCTATTACATAAGAGACAGGTACTTGACAGAATCCTTACATATTACATAAGAGACAGGTACTTTACACTTGACAGAATCTTGTTGCTTACCTATTACATAAGAGAGACAGGTACAGGTACTTGACAGAATCTTGTTGCTTACCTATTACATAAGAGACAGGTACTTGACAGAATCTTGTTGCTTACCTATTACATAAGAGACACTTGACAGAATCTTGTTGCTTACTTGACAGAATCTTGTTATTACATAAGAGACAGGTACTTGACAGAATCTTGTTGCTTACCTATTACATAAGAGACAGGTGACAGAACTTGACAGAATCTTGTTGTTGCTTACCTATTACATAAGAGACAGGTACTTGACAGAAATCTTGTTGCTTACCTATTACATAAGAGACAGGTACTTGACAGAATCTTGTTGCTTACCTATTACATAAGAGACAGGTACTTGACAGAATCTTGTTGCTTACCTATTACATAAGAGACAGGTACTTGACAGAATCTTGTTGCTTACCCATTACTATTACATAAGAGACAGGTACTTGACAGAATCTTGTTGCTTACCTATTACATAAGAGACAGGTACTTGACAGAATCTTGTTGCTTACCTATTACATAAGAGACAGGCTTACTATTTGACACTTGACAGAATCTTGTTGCTTACCTATTACATAAGAGAGACTTGACAGAATCTTGTTGCTTACCTATTACATAAGAGACAGGTACTTGACAGAATCTTGTTGCTTACCTATTACATAAGAGACAGGAGACAGGTACTTGACAGAATCTTGTTGCTTACCTATTACATAAGAGACAGGTACTTGACAGAATCTTGTTGCTTACCTATTACATAAGAGACAGGTACTTGACAGAATCTTGTTGCTTACCTATTACATAAGAGACAGGTACTTGACAGAATCTTGTTGCTTACCTATTACATAAGAGAGAGGTACTTGACAGAATCTTGTTGCTTACCTATTACATAAGAGACAGGTACTTGACAGAATCTTGTTGCTTGTCATGATCATGATTTGTTTGTTTGTTTCTAGACGAGGCCTGAACCCACCTCACAGAGTCAAGTCCATCTCAATGGCAAGCTTCTCTGTAGATGAAATGGATTTCCTCAAGTGTCATGGGAATGAGGTAAGATGGTTGTCTTGTGTGTCAATGTATGGCGCCTCAACTATATGACATGTCTTGTGGCTTTGAACATACCTTGTCCATGGACATGGTGTGCAGTGCCACTGAGTTTGAAATAGTTGGGGGTAGTGGGTGTCCTTGGGGGCAGGGGATTTGAATCAAGGGTACATTTTCAGATTGACTCACTTTCTAGGGGGGGGGGGATTTGAATCAAGGGTACCAGATTTGGGGGCAGGGATTTGAATCAAGGGTACATTGTCAGATTGACTCACTTTCTAGGGGGCAGGGGATTTGAATCAAGGGTACATTGTCAGATTGACTCCCTTTCTAGGGGGCAGGGGATTTGAATCAAGGGTACATTGTCAGATTGACTCCCTTTCTAGGGGGCAGGGGATTTGAATCAAGGGTACATTGTCAGATTGACTCACTTTCTAGGGGGCAGGGGATTTTAATCAAGGGTACATTGTCAGATTGACTCATTTTCTAGGACTACGAACTGATTGTCATTCAACATGACCATTGTCCAATCGAACTTAAATAAATTCATGAAAATGTTAAAAATATTTCTATATTGTTTCCAGTAAAGCAGGGCCGAGGTGGCCCTGTTGTCTAAGGTGCAACAATTCACATCGTTGCCCCTAAGGCATTCCAGAATCCCGAGATTGGTGGTTTGAAGCCCAGTTTGCCTTGATTGTGTTGCTGGGCTTGTGGTGCCATTCCCTTGCAATGTTTTCAACTGGATGTAAGACCTGACTCAGGGGTGGAAATAACTTTAAAATTGCTAGCGTACTCCGGTACAGTGGCACATTTAAAATCACTTGCCCTGATAATTTTTTCACTATACTGGCCGATTTTCTTGTTCATTTTTTAAATAATCAACATAATTAACATTGGTAAATCAACTGGACACCGGTACAGCGTGATATGCAAATTTGCTTGCCCAACAGAAATAATCACTGGAATGGGACGTCGGGCAATGGGTTATTTCCACTCCTGTGACTCATCCTGATATGACTGGAATACAGTTAGAAGTGGCCCCACCACTCAGGCACTGGCTCAAGCATAGACGATGTAGGAACCAATTACCATTAATCATTTGGACGATGCCAAGGACTCCATGACCATAGTTTACTTATCACAAATACCATATCACAAACTGGCTGCTCATCGGGTTGTAATTCTGTATTAGATCTTTTGCAAACATGTATTTGAAAACTGTAGTTTCTTTCAAAATGGTGAAGCCCATTTCTGGTGTCCCCTGCCGTGATGTTGCTGGAATATTGCTAAAAGTGGCGTAAAACCAAACTCAGTCAGTCAGTCTTTCAAAATGTTCTCATGATATGATGGAAAACACATTCTTGTATGTTGTGACATGTGCTAGGGACTGTATCAACCATTTCCTAATGGTGAAAGTATGGTGATTCTGGGATAGAGCTGATCCTCAGCATCTTTGCCAGTAATAGGAAGTGACCCAGTGTGGATTCTGGGATAGATTTGGTTCTTAGCATCTTTGAGGGTCAAAAGAGATGACCCAGTGGGATTCTGGGATAGAGTTGGGGCTCTGCATCTTTGCGGGTCAAAAGAGGTAACCCAGTGTGGATTCTGGGATAGAGTTGGGGTCTGCATTTTTGCGGGCCAAAAGAGGTGACCCATTGGGATTCTGGGATAGAGTTGGTCCTTAGCATCTTTGTCGGTCATAAGAGATGTCCCACTGGAATTCTGGGATAGAGTTGGGGTTCTGCATTTTTGCGGGCCAAAAGAGGTGACCCATTGGGATTCTGGGATAGAGTTGGTCCTTAGCATCTTTGTCGGTCATAAGAGATGTCCCACTGGAATTCTGTGATAGAGTAGGGGTTCAGCATCTTTGCCAGTCATAAGCAGAGATGCCAACCCTCCGGACTTTATTGGAATAATCCTGAAAGGCGCATGTTGATTCCGCCATCCAAACAAAGCCAAATTCATCCGATTCTTTTTCAAAATATAACAAAGATACAGATAGTCTTACTAACTGGACCTCTAGATTCATCTTTGACTATAAATAATGATAATTAAATAAATACAACACTTTATTTACATAAGTTCTCAAATTGTTTACACATAGAAAGTAATTCAGAAGTTGAGTAGGTTGCCTGATAAATTCCATGCACTGTTTATTTTATTCACTTGACATTCACAAACACTGCTGTCGAGTACTGCAAACCGGTTTCAGTTATATAAAGATGTCTATGTGTAATGACAAGCTTTGTTCCTTGAGTGCAACAATGTATAGGAATCCCTAATTTGTTGGGAAAATTCCTAAAAAAAATTATCTTAGGGAACTCAGATTCCTCAGCATCTTTGCATGATAGGTGACCCATTCTGGGATATAGTTGGCACTCTGCGACATTGCCAGTCATAAGGGGCATCAACTAGGTGGTCAAGCTTGGTATGTTTGTTGGTTATGTCTGACAACATGTGTATTCCCTGGGTGTTTTTTTGTGTCTCTTCAAGAACTACTGTATTTTGGAAGCTGGGTACACATGTGTTCTAGAACTGTACAGATACACCAGCCACTGGTCTGGTATTGTCAACAAGGCTGCACGTGACCCAGTTGTTGGATCAACAAGGTTCCTCCACACGTGAGTTGGTGTTGTTTTCCAAACAAAGGTGCAGCTGATAACCCAGTTTACATCACTGCGCAGAAGATGGACAGAAACAATCTAGATGTTGTTTACTTGATTTTCTGATCTTACTTGACTGTTTTTTTGTTGTTGGTCAATTCATATTAAAATTGAAAATGTGAAAGTGTGGAAAGATTGTGATACAATCTTCTTAATGTATCAATACTGATTGTACCAATACGGTCTTCATGACACTATTTTCATGAAACCTTCAATTTCAACCTTCAGTATCAACATACTCAATCTAGTTTTTTACTCTTGTCATTGTTATTGAAACATTTTTTTTATAGAAATGGCCTCTGCAGCAGCTAATTTTTTCAGCATTCATTGTTGGTCTATCATTGATTAAGGGGAGTACAAAGTACAGGTCAACCATGTGCTTCCCATTCCATGAAACACCGTACAGGTCAACCTTGTGCTTCCCATTCCATGAAACACCGTACATCTCACCTTGTGCTTCCCATTCCATGAAACACCGTACAGGTACAGGTCAACCATGTGCTTCCCATTCCATGAAACACCGTACAGGTCAACCATGTGCTTCCCATTCCATGAAACACCGTACAGGTCAACCATGTGCTTCCCATTCCATGAAACACCGTACAGGTCAACCATGTGCTTCCCATTCCATGAAACACCGTACATCTCACCATGTGCTTCCCATTCCATGAAACACCGTACAGTTCAGGGGGTCGGTATATGCTCGCATATCATGAAAAATATGACGCGTTATTGTGCTTAAGAGAAACAAATATGTCTGCCTGTTGAAGCATAAGATTTAGGCTGGCCCCAAACTATACATACTGCAAGTTTATTTGGATGCAAAACTGTGCATGTCTAACATGCAGACATTACTGAAACTAACAGATTTGACAAGTCATTCTAATATTTCCCCCCTGATAAAAAATGCTGTCAGTGTTTGGAGTGTCTATTACAGATTTCCGTCAATCAAGCACCATATTTTGATACAAAAGTGGAAATCCTGTGTCTGAGCATTAGAATAAACATGATCTTGAGGCTTACCTCAGACCTCCAGCAGACATGACAAGATATGACTAGAATACAGGTAAAGTGCCATTAGAACAATCGCATTCTCACTCACCCACTCTGGCTCAATGATTATAGTATCAGTTGTGACATTTTCTGTGAGAATATGAAATCCATACTTGTGCTTATTTGTTAGTGACTAGTGTAAGTTACACAGATTTTTTTAGCAGCCTTTATGCATTTTTGCATATTCTCATAGCAAGGACTTTCATCCTCTAAACCTGCTAATTTGAAATGTTTATCACAAACATGTCTGTGCTCTTTTTTGACAGTGATTGTCTTTTTATATATATCTTTTATTAAATATGATTATTCTTTGGAAAAGTTATTTCTAATTTTGACCAAACTAAAGTAGTCTAGATATATGACAAAGTAGTCTGCCTGTTGTAAGATATCTTGAAGCTTTGCTTCATGTAAGCTAAGTCAGTCATTCTCAGATGAATTCCCAGAAATCTGTGCAATATATTTAGAAACATCCATCAGCACATAACAGGAATTAATGTCTTCCTGTTTGAAAATTAATGCATACTGACAGAATGTGAAAAGAGCAGCTATATATGGTCTTATTATGACTTTCATACTCATTTCCTCACTGGTTCAATAGAACATCAATGTCTGCCAACCACTCTGCTACCCCAACCTACTTTCACATTACAAAGTTTTGGCTGAAATATTCAAATCAGCAAGTGGAAATAAATAAAATAATTAAATTTCAGCTTCACATAGATCTTTTCATTTACTCATTTGACTTAACAGATGATAGATGTTTTGATTGTTATTGGTGTTCTACTGTACTTTAGATTTTAGGAAGAATGTGATTTGGGTTAATTAATGATTTAAAAAAAAATATGAGTTAAGGTCCCATGATAACGCAGTTGGGGGATATCTTATTGAAATATTTGTCAGTTTGCCGTTGCAAGTGCCGATAGTATCTTCTGAAATTAAGTATATTATTATGATAGATCTATTGTTTTCATTTATAGAAACTAGCAAGGTTGTAAGGACATATGATGACTGAACTGCAACTGAAGATGCCATGTGTGTTTACGTATTATAGTGTTCCCCTAGGATTCAGAAAGGGCAGGGTAAATTAAACAAAAAAGGGCACTTCATAATCTAAAAGGGCACTTTGGTGAGGATTATTGAAAAATAACAATAACAAAATGTATATGAAGTCAAATGCTCTTATAATTTTATTTCTAAAGTTCATTTATTACTCTTCTCATTTTGTATTTTAAGATCAAAATTTGAAAAAAAAAAGTATTTCAAGACATTAACCTGTTGTCACATTTGTTT